GAGAGAAGCACTTAGCCAGGGACAGCCACGTGACCTGGGCAGGAGCTGGGACAAAGATGATTTCCTCTTGGAAACACTGAGCAGCGAAGCTAACTGTGAGCCCTCATACTTCCAGCTGACTGCTCTGAGTTCTGAGGGACTCTGCTCCAGGGCCAGCCTTTAATCTTGGTGTTGTTCCAAGCCCAGTGCTGCCAGTTGCCGCCCTGCAGCCTAGTATATCACTGTCTCCCGCAGTCACAGCTCCTACCCCTGAAAGTTTGCTCTAAATTGGGCTTCCGTTTCAGGGGGTCTTTTTCTCTTTCTCACTCTCTACCCTCAACAAGAAGATGTGGCCATCTACACCTAAGGTTCTCCTGAAGGAATTGGGTAGGCTGTGCTGGGGACAAGAGACGTCTGCGAAGATGACTCTAGACCTTACACGGCTGTGCGTGTGATGGGAAAGAGACGGAACTGAACAGCCCACCAAACCTTTTAAAACTCCAGCTTCTCTGGTCTCTTCCTTGTCTCCTTTTTTGGGCTTGACTTTTAGCTGTGCCCCAGAGTCTGAATTTCATAAGTAATAGACAGAATTGTCTCTGTCTATTTCACATGGATATTCCATTTATCTTATGGATAACATGGTCATTGTGGTTATGTCTGTGGCCTTTGGCAGCCGACTGCCTAACTCCAAATGCTGCTTTGACACCTATAAGCTGTGGGGGGGGGGGGGGGGGGCGGTGTTGAGTCATTTTACCTCTCTGTGCCTCAGTTTCCTCATCTGACAATAGGGATCGCAGTGGGACGTCCATCCTTGCACAGTTAGAAGGAGTACATGAATGAGATAATGCATATAGAGTATTCAGTACTGGGTTTGTCACATAGAATGCATAAAAGTTGCGAGCTCCTTTGCCATAAACTCCGAACTCGATTGAATGCGTCTGTGGGGTTTGAGCATCTGTTATGTGCCAGGCACTGTGCACACATCTTAAACTTTAATAGCATCACCTTATTCCCAACGGCCCTCAAAGGGCAAGTATTGTCCACTCTGCTTTGCAGAGGGAGGACTCAGGCTCAGAAATACAGGTGGCTGCCTCAGAGTCTTTGACCACAAAATTCTTGAGGACATCGGCGAGTTTTAATTTTTTCTTTTTAACGATGGGAACATTTTTCTTTCATTTGAAAAGAGATCAAAAAGGAGACCTCTCTGAGTCAGAGCAAGGAGGGGAACCCACAGCCCTGCTCCCTCAGCCCTCCCTGCCACCACGGAATGTGGAGAGCTGCGCTGTCCTCTCCAGCAGCCACCAGCCACACATTGACCATTTACATCAGAATCTAAATTAAGGGTAAAGTAAAAATAAATAAAACTAAAATGATGAGATCAAAAGAAAACCTCAGTCCCTCAGTTGCACTAACCACATTTCAAGTGCTTGAGAGCCTTATTAGACGGCGTAGATAGAAATCATTTCCATCACTGCAGAAAATTCCCCGAGAGAGCGCGGTCATAGAGAGTTTTGTAGTACAGAGTTTGGAAATGTCACTGATGAGCTCCAGGCAGCCTTAGCCTCATAGAACCTCGCCTGCTTATAGATAACATAGAAAAATAATAATAATAATATTATCAATAATAATATATCTTCCTACTGGGCAGTTGCGAGGCCTCTATGGGACAATATTTTGAAGTGCTGTGCACTGTTTTGTAAAGCACTATGCAGACAACGACTGTCGCCATCAGTGAGGCTGCATAAGCCCCAGGATGTTTTTAGACATGTAGGCAACTGTGGCCATTGCATTTAGACTCCAGCTCCAAAATCGTAGATGAGGGAGAGAAAAGATCATGGGGTCCCACAGTTTCCTTCATGTGCCATTCTCGATTTGGTTCTGATGTGACCCCGAGACCGCAGAGAGTCAGGCTGTGGAGGGCAGGCCCATCTGTGGCCCTCCTTGGCCAGACCCCTGTGAGAGAACAGCCACCAGCCCACCCCATGTGTAACTGCTTTGCTCAGAACCAAGAGTGTCTTTTGCAGTGGTCCTCCCTCTGACTTGACAGCATCTTGCTTTTGCAAACTTTGTTACCCTAGAAAACTTCCTGTTTTCTTTCTGCTCATCTGGCTGTTTGTTTCTCAGCTGAAGAAGATTTGTCATGAAATATGGTAATGATTTGCAGAAATCTGTGCCTGTCTATAAAATCCTGATTTAAACTGCTGTGGGACAACTCTCATATGATTGCCAGGTACAGTTTTAGATTTCCATCCCGGCAACGCATCAGTGTGTGCTGGATCAACAGGAGGGGGAGAGGTTTCACCCCAACACCGACAGATGGCCTTAACATTTCAATGCCCCTGTGCGCACATACACGTGTATTTATGTTTATCTTTTGAGGAACTGAGAGAAGAGAGATGGGTAAGGCTTAGAAACTCTTAATAAAACTCAGATTCTCAGCATCTCCATGGCAACTTTGAAATGTGAAGTGTTGACGTTGCAAGCAGCCCAGCTTCATCAAGAAGACAAATGCCATCCATGGCCTGACGTCTTCAGGACACCCATGTTATCTAGCCTCAGTTTCCCATAAGGAGAGTGACAGAAGGTGACTGTTGGCTTGTGGTATCATAGAATGCCACAGCTGGATGTGCATCTCAGCAGGACCACAATGACCACCTCATCTCACAGATGAGGAACCAAAAGTGCGAAAGAAGGAAGAGACTTTCCGGAGGTCGCGCCATCCGCTAAATGTAGACTAGAACTCAGATCTCTTCTACCTGCTCCTGTCACACGCCCTACCGCCATCATACACAAACCGACATCATAAATCTCCTCATCCCGTGTTTCCACAGGTCGCAGCATTGCTGTCTGTTCAGAAAGGCTGTTTCCTCTTGGTTTGTCAGCCCCGGTTCACCGTCACCACTGACAATGCCCAGTTTTCTTCCTCTTCCGCTTGGGTGATCTGATCCCCTTGTATTACTCTCAGAGTATAGAACCAAGTCTCCAATCCCACAGCCTTAGGATAAAAGCTTCAGAGGCTTTTTCCCGGTGAGACAAGCCCAGTAGTTTCCCCCCCATCTCCAACCATTACAGAAACAAAAATTAAAATGAAGAACGCAGCCGTAAACCTTCCAGAGACTTTTGTTTCCATGGGGAACCCGCCAGCAGCCGTGTCTGAGAGGATGCAGCATTTTACATCCTCTCCCTGCCACTTTTATTTTTCTTTGCTTTACTGTTTTATGTTTTCTTGTTAAGGATGGAAAGGCAATAAAGTTGAGAAGGTGTCAGGAAGTGGAGTAACCTCTGATTTCGTTTTCCTGCCTGCTTTCGAGTTGAGGCATCCACCGCCATGTTCAAGGGTGATCATTTCCAGCTTGTTATATGGCTCTAAAAATTGGAAGCGATATGCATGCTCACTGATAGGGACCTGGGTAATGAATCAGGCACAGCTATGCCGTTGAGGGGGTTCCTTGATGCCTGCTTTTTGGGGGTGCTGACCGGAGGAGCATAAGGCCTTCTGAGATGATGATAATGTTCTATACCTTGAACTGTGCGGCGATTTCAAGGATGTATACGTACGTAAAAGTTTATCTAGCACTTTATATTGTGTACGAGATATACCTTAATAAAAATAAGTATATCAACAAAGGAAAAAAGTGCCATGTTTATTGACATGGAAACACATTCACTGTGTGTGGTGTGAGATGAGAAAAGGAAGCAATTGGTGAAAAGGTTTGTGCGGAATAGTGATATTTTGGGGGTTAAAACAAGGATTGGTAAACTATAGCTCATGGGCAATCTGTTTTTGCAAATAACCTTTTATTGGAACACAGCTGAATTCATTCAGTTATGTGTTATCTACGGCTGCTTTCATGCCGTGTGTGAGTTTTCCACAGCTGCCATAACAAAGGCCCACAAACTAAGAAGCTTAAACAACAGGGATTTTTTGTCTCATGGTTCTGGAGGCTGGAAGTCCAAGAGCAAGGCGTCGGCAGGACCATGTTACCTTTGAAAGGACTAGGGAGGGATCTGTTCCGGCTTCTCTCCTGGCTTCGGTGGTTCCTAGGCTTGTGACAGCGTCACTCCATCCTCCACGTGGCGTTCTCCCGTGTGTGGCCAAATTTCCCTTTTTTTATGAGGACACAGGTCATGTTGGACTAGGTAGCCCATTGTACTCCACTGTGACCTTATCTTAACTAGCTACATCTGCAATGACCCTATCTCCAAATGAGAGTACATTCAGAGGTCCTGGGGGTTAGGAATTTAACGTAGGAATTGGAGGGGGACACACATTCAGCTTATAGCATGACACAACAGCAGAGTTGAGTGATGCAACAGAGACTATATGGCCCGCGAAGCCTAAACTATGTGCTATGTTTTCTTTACAGAAAAAGTTTGCCAAACCCTGTGTGCCTATATCTATGTATGTGTGTGCGCACGTGCATAAAACATTTGGAAGACTGTTCCCTGATGTGTTAACAGAGGTTGCCTCTGCGTTATGGAATTATGGGCAATTTAAATTTTACTTGTATTCTTAATATTTTCTACATTATTTGGTTTTCTAAAAATTACTGCGTAATAATTTTTGTAATATAAATGAACAGTCAGCATATTTCTTTGGGGAGGAAAAAGCATCATTCCTATTTATTCCTCTGCCTTTCCGTACACTATTGCCAAACTCTCCTGTCCCTTAATGGTTTATTTTGTTCCGAGGCAAACTTTTCTAAATAGGCCGCTGTTCTCCACTGTTGGGAGTGCCAAGGGCAAACACTTAGCAAACCGGCAAACTCAACTGTTTACTCACTTGGGCATAAGCATTCTTCATGTCTTTATTTAGCTGCCTCTTGTAACTTGGAAAGAAAAGGGTCTGGCTTTTAGCTCCTCATTAAAAATAGATCCTTTTATGATGAGGGGACGGAGCGGCCATGAGTCATCATCTCCTGTGTGAAAGAAAGTGTGTAATGCTGGATCAGGCCTCGGGAGCTGGGCCCTGAGATGGTACCCTGGCGTCTCCATCATTCCTTGGTTTCTTGTCATTTCAGGAAACTGGACGCTTTCATCTATGACGCGGCCGTCTTGAATTACAAGGCGGGGAGGGACGAAGGCTGCAAGCTGGTGACCATCGGGAGCGGGTACATCTTTGCCACCACTGGGTATGGGATTGCCCTCCAGAAGGGCTCCCCTTGGAAGAGGCAGATTGACCTGGCCCTGCTCCAGTTTGTGGGTGATGGTAAGACCTTGGGTGACCCCCTACTTTCGGGGAACTTGAGACCCTTACACTCTCTCTGTTTGCTAATTGGCTTTCCAGTGGACTTTCGTATGATGAGTTTGCTCACTAAAAATATTTATTGAGTGCCTAGCACGTGATACCGTGGTTCTGGAGGTTGCTTATAATGGAAACTCAATTTTAGACAACTAAATTTTAAAAAGGAATTTATTTTAAGGATGCAGAAGTGTCTGTCTCAGTGAATTGAGGAAAGAGTTGAGCAAATAGATTTAGAGAAAAAACAGGAGCCAGGACAGTCCTGGGGCCTCAACAGCAGGAATTCATAGGTCTTGTCTCTGGAGCAGTGGTTCTCAACGGGGGGCAACTACCCCAAACCCGCCCCCCCCCCCACACACGGGATATTTGGCTATGTCTGGAGACATTTTTGATTGTCGTGACCAGGAGGCTGTTTGCTACTGGCATCTAGTAGATAGAGGCCAGTGATGAGAGATGCTGTCAAATATCTTACAATACCTAGGACAGCCCCCCACATCTCAAAATGCAGAATCACCTGACCCCAAATGTTAGTGGTACTTGGGTTGAGAAACTGTGCTCCAGAGCAATGACATTACACAACTAGGCTACAGTGAATCCCAATCTCTGTTCTCTACATTCTAAATTTCAAGTTCCCGAGAAATGATTCCTGATGTATTTTGGGTCAAAGACTCTTGCCTGGACCCCTCGGGAGTTTCTGAGGGGTGGAGTTATGTCGTACTAACACTACAGCTCCTGTTGTTATCCTATGGAGGAATGAAGGAGAGGCAAGCTCTAGAAGAGGAACAGTGAGCAGAAATCCCATGGGTTTCCACTACAGTCCACCTCTTGACTGCCTATCATGCCAGAAGATATGGTTTCCACCCTCACGGGGCTTACAATCTAATGGGATTATGGCATTTATGGAATTGCACAGCTAATTGGACTGACTCTGTCCCCAGCAGCATTTCCTTCTGACTGTCCTTCTCTACTTCCTAGTTGGTGATCTCACCACAGCCCATTGTTTCATAGCATGGTTTTTGGAATCCTGTTGTGGCTCTGAGGGCATGTTTGTTTCCTTTAAATTGCCAACACTAGGAAAGGAAAGGCAAAGCCAGTAGAGATGGCAGGTAAGGCTTGAGTAAGTGAGAGTGGGATACAAAAGCTCAGAGCATAGAGTGCAAGCTGCATTCAAGAATGAGTGGAGGCTGAAGCCAGAGTTGGTTACAGAATATGCTATTGGTGCATAGCGTTGATGTGAATTTGAACAATGTAGGTAGTTCCTTGCAGCCTCTCCTCTTCTCTCGACTCCCAGAATTAAACCCTAGATTCTTGCAGTGCCATCAAGAAATCTAAATGTGTTTTATATTTAACTCCTAAATAAGAACATCTGATTCTTTGAATTCCCTGTAGGGCATTTGTACCTTCCTCAGACCACGAGCTGTGTCCTCTGCTGTGTAATAGGGATTTGTGGCTGTGTTGGTCAGCTAGAGCTGTGAAATCTTAGAGGCATACAACAATAAATGTTTATTTTGCTTAGGGGAGTTCAGGTTGAGTGGAGAAGCTCTGCCTCAGGCCGAGGTGGCTGTGGCGGCTCTGCTCCCTCCTGTAGGCCCATGGGTCAACAGCGTGGTCTCTGTTCCGCCTGTGTTTGTTCTGGTCTGAGGCTGGAGGGACACCTGGGAGAAGCTCTTTTCTCGGCTGTGTCAGAGGCACAGAGAAAAACACCTAGCTGCATATACACACTTCAAGTTTCTGCTTTGTCACATTCACGTCTGCTAACACCCTTCTGTCCAAAGCAGGTCAGATGGCCAAGCCCAAAGTCAAGGGATCAGAGGCACACGGTACCATTTATGGGAGGAGTTTTGGCATTACATGACAAGGGGTGTGGACACAGAGAAGGGGTGAAGAATCAGGGCTAATTTTTCCATCTGCAACAGTGGTTGCCTAATCACCCATACTCGGGGTGAACTACTCAGCAAACGAGAGTCTCATTTCCAGCAGTAAATGCCACGAAATCCTAAACATAACGTGTAACTGGTCAATGAAGGATTGAGTGAATAAGTACATGCATGGATGAATGGGTGGCATTGGGATGTATTTAACTCGACAGGAAACTTCTAAACATGATGCGTAGCTGTCAAATAAGCGAGTTCTAATTCTACTCCTACCTACCATTGCTGTCGCTCTTGTAGCATCTATTATGAAACAGCAACATATTTTGGAACAGGACATGCCAATCACCGTACTGGATGCATTACATGTTTTTTAAAATTTTGTATTCATAACAACCTTCTGCAGTTAAATATTGCTTCTACCCATTTTACAGAGGAGGAGACTGAAGCTCAGAGCATTTGTGAGTCCACTAGCTAGTAAGTGGCAAAGCGTCTGCTTAAGGGGCTTTACTCTGGAAGGGGGTCAATTATGGAAGACTCCTCTTTCATTCAGTTCTCTAGGATGTCTATGAAAGTTGGCTAATCAGACACTTGAGATTTATAGATCCTTTAGGAAGGAGTAATTTAGTGTTTATCTAAACTAAATCTATTGTCCCATTTACAAATACTTTTGGGAAAGGGGTAATCTTTTTTAGCCTCAGTTTATTCATTGGTGAATGAATGTAGAAATATTTACTTGATAAGGTTGGTATGAAGATGAAATGAGAAGAAACATGTAAATAGCTTAGCTCAGTGCAGCACCTAGAAATAGAAATGGTTCGATAAATGCTAGCTGTTACGATCTTCATCACCATCATCACCACCATCCTTATCATCATCATCATCGTTATTGTCACCACCACCACCATCGTTATTATCACCATCATCATCATTACGATCATCATCACCACCATCATCACCATCACCACCACCACCACCACCATCGTCATCATCACCATCATCATCACCACCACCATCATCATCACCAACACCACCACAATCACCATCACCATTACCAACACCAACATCATCCTCACCACTACTACCATCATCACCACTGCCACTACCATCATTATCACCAACACCACCTTCATCACCACCACCATCATCGTCATCACTTCCGTCATTGTTATCATTACCATCATCATCACCACCCTCCTCCTCGTCCTCATCGTTGTCCATCCACAACTCCAACATTCAACACAGTTATTTATTGTTGCCTTGGTGATAATATGGTCAAGTTAGTATCATGGAAACAACCTTTTTAGTACTGAACAGAAAATATCCTCTTTGTGGCAAATAAGAAATGAAAAGTAAAGACATTCACATAGGCGAGAGGTGTGTTCCTTGTACTAGCAAAGCATCTAGATTCTAATAGATACTTTCTGTCCTGGCTCATTGCTTTTGTGGTCAAACTGTTGGGGTTTGGAAATGTGTCTTCTCAGCTTCATCTTTGGAGATCATCTGGAGGCAAAGCCATTGGAGAGAAAATGACGTTGCTGCAGGGGGCGTCTTAAGATAATCTTCCCAAAAGCCATGTCCAAGTCTAAATGTCTCTCTAGGAGTAAATACATGAATTAACGCAGCTGCATAAATATTTCACTTATCGTATGCAGCTTCACCAGGATTAATTATGCTCTAAAATTAGACTTGTAAAGAGCACAGTGCTGAGCGGTACCTAATTATTATTCATCCTCTAGAATGGAGTGTTTATCTCTTGTTACAGAGTAGCTTCAGTGGACGATTACGAGTCTAATGAGTGTCAGAAGTATAAAAAATTTTCCTAATGAGCTGTGTAAATATAACCTTTGAGTGGAGTGTTTGATTTGGGGGGAACCTCTTACGTGAAGCCTGCCAGGCACTTCCCTAGGAAAAAAGCTACTGATCTGCCTCAAGAGATACACAGGATGCCAATAAGACCTCACTTTCCCTTTCTTGTCTAATAGTTGTGTCCTTCTGAAATAGTGGAGTGCACCATAGAGATCTCAGTAGTTTAGTGACACTCATAGGTGCTTTTCAGCATTGATCATCAATATCCAATATTTGTTGAGAAACATACCTTCCTGGGCATTGATGTTCCAAGAAGGGGATGTCACGATCTTTTTCTTTCCTTCAAGGAACTTATAGTCCAGTTGGTTGACAACGTATAAACAAAATATCTAATTTCAAAATATGAACATATTTATAATAATTCATATATATGAATTAATATATGCATATATATGTATATATATGTATTCTTAGGTGTCTTGGGTAGGGGAGAGAGTAGTCAAGGAGAAATATGAGATGTACTCGTTTTTTTAATAGAAGAATGAAAGAACAGAATGAATAAGAAAGAAAACGAGTATCGTAAGATTTAGACAAAGAATAGAATAGTCCAGAGTTCATAGAGCCGCATTCATTAACTCATCCCGCAATCAGTAAATACCTACTAAGTACCTGGTATCTGCCTAGCACCTAAAAGGTGACACTTGAGTGAGAACATAAAGAATGAGTAAGTCTGGGACCTAAAATAAAACGGTATTTCTGGCTTCAAAAGGGAGGTTGAACAGGAGATCTCTCAGGTCCCACCAATCTCATGGATTTTGTCATTTGTTTTTAAGTGATTCTGGGATTTGAAGAGACAGAAGGAAGATCATAGAGGTTAAAGCCCTTTTGATGTATAGAGGCCAGCAAAAAGATGCTGAGCAGACCAGGATTATATCACAATATTATTCAGAGCACGTGATACTGAGAAAAAGAAGGAAACAGTTGTTCTTGAGCCTGGACCCAAAGGTCCAGGACCATGCTAAGTACCTCACAAATGGTGTCAGTAACTCTTCATACAATATTCTGGAGTGGATCTTATTATCTCCATTTTGAAGAGCAGGAAAACAAGGAGGTTCAGCTGGGTTAAGTGAGCTATGGCAGAGCTGCTCAGACATTAACGAGAACAGGAATCACGTGGGGGTCTTGTTAATAAATGCAGATTCTGTTGCAGTCGGTCTGGGGAGGGGTGCCTGCGATTCGGCATTTCTAACCAGCTCCCAGGTGATGCTGATGCTGATGATCTTGGAG